TGCCAGACCCGTGCTGCCCGAAGCCAGAGGACTGGCCCGTGCCAGACCCGTGCTGCCCAAAGCCAGAGGACTGGCCCATGCCAGACCTGTGCTGCCCAAAGCCAGAGGACTGGCCCGAGCCAGACTCGTGCTGCCCGAAGCCAGAGGACTGGCCAGAGCTAGACGTCTGCTGCCCGAAGCCAGAGGACTGGCCCGAGCCAGACCCGTGCTGCCCGAGGCCAGAGGACTGGCCCTTGCCGGACCCGTGCTGCCCGAGGCCAGAGGACTGACCCTTACTGGACCCGTGTTGACCACAGCCAGAAGACTGACTTGAGCCAGACCCGTGTTGACCACAGCCAGAAGACTGACTTGAGCCAGACCCGTGTTGACCACAGCCAGAAGACTGACTTGAGCCAGACCCATACTGGCCACAGCCAGAAGACTGACCTATGCCAGACCCATGATGCCCCAAACCAGAGGACTGACCCGAGCCTGGTCCATGTTGTTCATAGCTGCAGGACTGACCTGAACCAGACCCATGATGACCACATTTGGAAAATTCATTTGGACCAGACCCTTTTTGATGAGAGTTTGAAGACTGTCCACAAGAACCAGATCTATGTTGACCACAACTAGAAGACTGACTTGTTCCACAGCCATATTTTGCACAGCAAGAGGACTGACTTGAGCCTGTTCCTTGTTGTCCTCCACAGTTTTGTGGTTGACCACATTGTTGAGATTCACATCTTCTCTGAGTACAAGACTGCCTGCAGGAACTAGGATCAGATCGACCATATCCAGAGGACTGCCCTCCTGAGACACATCTATGACCTTGTCCTCCACTACTTCCTGATTGACAACCTGACTGAGGACAGCTAGATTGGTTTCCTGGCCCTTTAAATCTACTTGTCTGACAAGAGCTAGAAGCATTTTGTGGCCTTCCACACCCACCTGAATTACTGTAACCACATGCATGACTTTGTCTCCTACTGTCTCCTGAACCTTCAGAGCTAGACCCAAGATTTTGTCCTCCACCCTTTCTTGACTGCGTAGAGTTTGATTCATGTTCACTAGTCTCTAGTCCATGTGAAAAACCACCATGACTTTTCCTTCCCTGACTCTTTGATCCAGATACATATTCCTCCCCAGATTCCCTAGAGGGGCTACCATATGACTTGTTTCTTTCCCGTAGTTCCCCGGAGTTTGGACCATGTCTCTCTTGGCCACTCCTCCAGGAGTGTCCAGAACCAGACCCCTGATACCTTTTCTCAGATCCTTCGGAACTGGATGATTCACCTTGCCTTCTCAGCCTCCTGGAGTTGGACCCCTGTCTATATTTTGCAGCATCCCTCGAGCCCCCAGAACTATATCCATGCTCCTCTCCCTCATTCCAACTTGAATGTCTGTAACCTTTTTTCCGTCTTGGTGTCTCTTCTTCTTCTTCTTCTGTTTCATTTTCTTCCTCTTGGTGTCGGTGACCATGCCTATGCTTCTTTGACCCTGAAGCTTTGCAGTATTCTTTGCTGAGAACCTTGTTGCAGGCCATGGCCAGCTTGAATACCATCAGAAGAAACTCAGTAAAGTCTAGTCTTCGATCATGGTCTCGATCCAGCATATGCATGATGACATCTACTGTGTCTGGATCATCTGGGTTCTGTATATAAGTGACATACCAAGGGAGACCTGATCAGTGTAGCCCACATTACCAACTAAAACAATCAAGTAGGGCTATGGATTTGTAAGTACTTGACATTCTCTAGTTTTAGTCCAATCAAGTATTACTTTCAGTTAATAGGACCTAGTAAATATGAAAGAGTAATAGAAAATAGAGACTATTGGACTCCTTCAAAGAAAACATTTCAAGGATTTAAGCTAGAAGTTTGTGTGTTCAAGTATGGCATATGGGAAGGAGTGGAAGAAACCAAGTTTGGTTAACTGGTATATCTTAGTTTTACATAAGTTTTAAATATACATGTTAACCTATTCTGTTAGGACATGTTATTTTGAAGTCAATACAGTCTTTCCCAAGTAGATGGGAAAAAGTACTTTTTTTTTTTTTTTAAATCACCCTGGCCACATTGGTAATTCCTTTGTGGACAATATACAGACTCTATACATTTTTCCCTACTTGACAGGATAATTTATTATTTCATGTCTTAGTATAAATTTATTTTCTGCTTTTTCAGAAGAGAAACCTGAGTGCATGAGAAAGACTATGTCTATAAGGTGGGAGTACACTGAAAAGTGAGGAAGAAACATTGGCTTTTTGAAAATACATGTACCTTAATGAACTTTATAATGTCCAAAAAAATCTGCTTATAGTGTTTTCTCAAAGACCTTTGGAGCTTTGCCCTTTCTAGGTAATCTTGGTTCTATAAATGAGCACCCACAAGATCCTAATGGCCTTGCATATGATCCTTACCTTCAGAATTGGACGAAATTCCTTCTCCAGAAGTTCCTTTAGTTCATCCTTGCTCAGTGTGCCACATTCCCCATCTTGCTTTGTATATTTATAGAAAATATCTATGACAGTGACAACACTTCTTAAAAGATCTGTCATCTTTTTGCAAGTTTAAGTAAACCTAGAATGAAAAAGTAACAAAAAAGTGTCATTATTTCTTTTCCTTTTAATTCATCTGCACTCTCATTTTATTGTTCAAGAACAGAGTTGGGGCTGGGGATGTGGCTCAAGCTGTAATGTGCTCGCCTGGCATGCGCAGGGTGCTGGGTTCCATCCTCAACACCACATAAAAATAAAATAAAGATGTTGTGTCCACCAAAAATTAAAAAATAAAATACTAAAAAAATTCTCTCTCTCTCTCTCTCTCTCTCTCTCTCTCTCAAAAAAAAAAAAGAACAGAGTTGGATCTAAGCATCACACAGTTCTCATTTTAATATCGTGATTTTTTTTAAACCTTCTGTTTCTTTTAAGCCTCAAATACAAGTGTGGATCAGGGATTTTACAACACTGTTCAACTTCATTAATTTTGAATTACTTTGCTAAGTTCACGTAATGGCATGTTGCTGGTCCAACTGGGACTAGATCTCAGGTCTCCATATTTTTAATCGTGATTGAATATAGTCTCTACATGTAATCTCTCTATAATTTGGGTACTTTTGTGACTTGGGTGTTGCCCTAGAGCTTCCAAATTTTCCAGAACCACCTAGACACCATTGCCCCAAGCTCTCTAGTTTTACTGCTGCTGTTCTTGAGTCAAAAGTTACTGTCCTTCTTCCATGACATCTGCATCCCTCCCCCCTTTGGGCATCAGAAGGTAAATTGGACCCAAGTCCTGAACTCAGCAAATTAAAAATGGCAAAATTAGCCACTCTCAGCATTTGATCAAACACTGTTCTTTTTTCATTAACCAGGTAGAAAAGCTCAGCACTGGAGGCAGGAGTTTGACTAGCAGATAATTAGATCTTGAAGCAGTAGGAACTGAACAAGGAAAAGATTCTATCACAATGTTAGACTCTTTCCTATTTGAGCTGCACAGACTAGAAAAAAATGACATACAACAAAACAAAAACAGAGTATGGAATGGCCTAAAAGAAGACAAGTTTTTACTTTCATTATTCTTCTCCATAAAGGTATACTTATTCCAAAAAGACCCCAGAGTAAAGTAAGCTAACCCCAAAAACAACCAACAAAAAAGCAACAAAAAGAAAAAAACAAGGGCTGGGGATGTGGCTCAAGCGGTAGCGCGCTCGCCTGGCATGCGTGTGG